GCCGAAGACCTGGGTTCGATTCCCAACATGGGTACAATGTGTGAAGCCCATTTCTTGTGTCATCGCCATGATATTTCTGGAATATTGCGAAATGTGGCGTAAAAAATCTTACTCACTACACAAATAACCGACTACGACTTTAGTCAATAATAAGGCATGGGAGTTATGGTCACATCACCACTAAACTCGCTCTGTATAACGGCACTCTGGGTTTTTACATTCTGGAATTATGTTTTTGTACCTTTGCATAAATACATTACTGAAGGTAGTGTATTTTGCCTTATGTCAAACAGTTAAATATATTTTGCTCCCTCGCTTTGTCGTAGTAGGCGACTGACGGAATGGGATGACCAGGCTGACTCGATGCCCATGTTGTCAATCACTGGATTTCTCGTTCTATTTAAATATTTGCAGACCGCCGTTATAAAGCTGGAACACCGGGAGAGCGGCGTTAACTGTAATCTGTTTGACTAATTTAACAGATTTTACTGGCGCTTCAGAGGCCTGACACAAGAAATTGTGGGCGAGTTGGGTTAAATTACGCCACTTTTAGCAATATTCCAGCAATATCACGACGGAGGACACCAGAAATGGGCGTCACACAGTGTACCCATGTGGGGAATCGAACCCGGGTCTTCGGCGTGATGGGCAAATGATTTAACCACTAGGCTACCCCCACCGCCACTGAGAAATGTCAAGAACGAATTATACAGGGGCGCTTATCTCAACTGTTCCATTCTGGCGATGATATTTGACCCGGGTCCAGATGACACGCTGTGATATACTGACGTCATGTTGAAAGAAGTGATAAACAAAACTCACTCACTCGAACCACTTAGAATCACCCCAAGACAAACTAATTTCCTACAAAGCGAATGGAGGTTAGCTCCCTTTGTGAATGAACGTCAGTTTATCGTTTTCAAATGTTGACAAGAATACACCTAGATATGGATAAACCTTTGTCGCCTACAGCCTTTTATTTCTCTATCTTTCCATCAGAAGGCTGCTTCTCCACTGTCTGATATAGGGAGTTGTACATGCTACCCGTATTTGGCTCACCACCAAAAGCACGGGCTTCTACACCTGTCACGTATGACAATTTGAATTCACATTCAATTGTCATCCGTCAGCCATCACACATGCATGGCTGACACAATATCTTACTAATGTTGTATAATTCACAGGTAAGCACCCTCTCTATATCCTTTCTCTATTTCATAATGCTACATATCTAATTATTATCAGTTAAGTGCCTTAAATTAGTAAACATATTGTTACCGATCGCGCATAAAGTAAACATATCTATCTTCTAATTTCAAAATCCTTCTTCTTCTTTCAAATGGATACCCTGTTCTTTGAAGGTTTTGGTCATGATCATTAAAGTTAATGTCAGTGTTCATGAAGCTGTAAAACATGTTTCACTTATTATTACTCATATATGATGCAAGGTATTCCTTATTTTCATGTCTGGTTATAATTACTGCCATGTTTAATGTTAGTGCTATGTCAACATTCAAGGTGACATTCGAGGTGATTGTGAGTGTGTATGGTTTTACACCACTTTTAGCAATATTCCAGCAATATCACGACGGGGGACACCAGAAATGGGCTGTACCTATGTGGGGAATCAAAACAGGGTCTTCGGGGTGATGAGCGAACATTTTAACCACTAGCTATAGGCTAAACCACCACCCCACCCCCCACCCTCCCCCGAGATGATTGTGAAATGTGACTGTAATACTTGTATTTATATCATAGACTTGGTTATTGTTGGATTTTAATCAGTTGTATGGTTTTAAATTATTCTTGTAACACTTGAAAATACTTTAAGGAATGGGGTGTAGGGGATGCTTCTGTTTATGAAAATATTTTCAAATAGTTACCTTGGTTTGTTTACTAGATTATATTTTCACAAATATGATGGATGTAATATTCAATGCCATATACATGTAACCTCCACGTATTACACATTTCACGTTGATGAGCCAATGACATTACTTCAATTGTTTGTAAGAGTCTTTTCAACAGACATAAAGATATGTGTGTGAACCAACTTAATGAGTTCGGTACTACATATAATTACATTTCATAGTATTCTTCTAGCCTGTCCCATTTCAAGACAGGCTGCTCTGTATTTTAGTAATAAAACATCTTTATCAAAACTCATTTCTTTTTGTCATTTTATGGGAAATCTGACAATGGTCAGTTTTTATCTGGTCAGCTGATGCTCTACAACATTTCTGAATACACAAACAACTAACACCAGGATTTGATGGATGTCTATACTTGGACAGAAAATGTCCACTGCGACATGTTCACCTTGCACATGCTTGTCTATGTTCAGCTGCATAAACTTATGTGACGCCACATGCATTGGTTTGACTCCCTACCCCAATGCAAATATATAAAGTTGATGCCCTTGATTGGGATGTGACTGGTATGATACTGATAGAGGCATCATAACCAACTATCTCTCATTTCACACTATTTCAACATAGTAAACATATTGTTACCGATCGCGCATAAAGTAAACATATCTATCGCGTATCACTTACTTACTTAAGCACTAGCACGTAAGACAGTTTGTGAAAGTATAATTATAATATATTTTATAAACCTTTTATTATCAACACCAACTGTCTATATTTTTAGCAATAATATGATGCATCACCTGTATGTGACGTCATCATGTAAACATCAACATTAATCAATTGTTATCATCATTATAACGTATGCCACTGTGCTATTTGATTATCAATTAAATAATTAATATGCCTGATTGATTCACATTCAATTGTAATCCGTCAGCCATCACACATGCATGGCTGACACACCATGTTACTAATGTTGTATAATTAACAGTCAATAAACGAGATGTTTTACACCAAAGAGGGTCTCCGTCCGTTATTTTGTCTGCTTGGCAAAGAATAAAGCCTGAACCCGCGACGCCTTTTTAAAAATATTTTCAATACAAACGGAGAGACAAAGTGTTTTCGTAAAATATTCATTACAAGAATCGATATGCAAATAAAAAAAAAGATTAACATCACGATTACTCTATCTATTTTCATTACTATTTTCTCGTATCTTCTTTCTATGTTATTTCCCTCCACTTTGGTTGTGGGTCATCCCTGATCGCCATTATGTCTGCCTACAGCCAGGACAGGTGACATGTCTCCCAATACCTTGTCCCCAGTGTCAACATCACCCATGATGCAAACACAGCATAGATGTGTTCAGTAGAAATATACACTGGGTTAGAATTTGTGTGCGTTTTCTAGTTCAGGAACGCCTTTAAATTCAATCTTGTGAGTGTAGGTGAAAACAAGTGTATATATATGTATCTATGTCTATGAGAGTATACCCTGGCCCTATTTGCCTCTAGAGCCTTGTTTCGGGAGCCATCACAAGACCCGTCTGTCTAATTTCTGAACAGGTCAATCGAGTTGAGTAGGAAGGGTTCGAAACGATTGTTGAGCACCTTCCTTCTACTGGTGTTTAAGACACCAACCCAGGATACAACACGTTCAGTTGTCTGGTGCCGAAATCCCAGATTTGCCTCGAGTGGAGATCCGGGTTAGAATTGATCTTCAGTAACCCATGCTTATGGTAAGAGGCGACTAACGGGATCGGGTGGTCAGGCTCGCTGACTTAGTTGACACGTGTCATCGTATCCCAGCTGTGTACATCGATGCTCATGCTGTTGATCACTGGATTGTCTGGTCCAGACTTATGTTCAGACAGCCGCCATATAACTGGGATATTGCTGAGTGTGGGGTTAACCAAACCAGTACCATACCCGTGTCAATTACTGCATCAGTTTATCACTTTCACACAATGATGACTAACACTAACACTCAAGCCGGTGTCGAAAGCGGCTTACATCCAAATCACTCACTCATGCACATTAAGACTACACCACATATTTTGAAGTGAACTATATATGAATAACACTCAAGTTTGGCTTTATAAGTTTATTACAATGTTTCACTGTTACATGTTTATAACAGGCGCGATACACATCAACTGGAGAGATACTCTTGGACTACGGATGTTCGGTGATCTGTTACGAGACGGGCGACACTTATCTTCTACCTGTGGACAGAAGGAAAAATCATTGTTAGAAATCTCAAAGAAGAGCAAAGTTCATTATACCATTCAGATTATATCCAATGCATGTGTTTCAGATTCACTATCAGGTGACACGGATGATCTCTCTAAACAAACTGTGGAATTATTAAGGACATGCGCCATTGCTACTGCATGATGTCAGTTAAACATACTTTAGACGCAGGGCAAAAGAATTACCTGACATGGACAAAACTACTGACACATTAATGAGGTGGTGCATGAAAGTGAAATAGAGATTGTGTATGTTATGTGTGGAAAGTTTGATAAAACTGGTCTCGAGAACAGCTAACTCAGTCAAAATGAATGGTGTGGAAAGAACAACAGGAAACCCCATGACACACCCCACTCGAAACCGTTGGGCAGACATGATCTGACGTCACTTGTAGTTGTTGATGCAGTCAACTACTGGTCCAGACTCAAGTATTTACTGACAGAAAGCTGGAACACAGCTGCACAACATTAACATAAATTCAGTGTGGTTACACAACACTCACTCACTCACTCGTCCGGGACTAAATGAACCATACATCATGGGGTATGGTATTTCTGCACCTGGTGTTCAAGATGGCTGACAATAAACAGATGTCGTGTGCTATGTAACAAAAGATAACACAAACGGCTAGGAAATTAAGATACGTTTAATCAGTACAGATTAAAGTAAAAACTGAGGTTGAATCTTGTCTGAAAAAGCCAAAATGTTCAAGTAAAAACCCACAAAATGTCCGAAAGGTCCGAAAAGTATAAATAGTGTTCAAAAGGGCCAAAAATGCAAAAAGTCACCAAATATTTCAATGTAAATAATTATCATATGACACAATGTCCAAAAGGTGAAAGATGTCACTGCAAGCGTCCATCTTGACACAGAACAGTCTCCTCAAGAATCCAACAGGTATGAAGATGTCACTATGAGCGTCCATCTTGGCAAGAACAATTTCCCTAAGAATCCAAGAAGTATCAAGATGTCACTCTAAGCGTCTAATCTTGACAAGGAACAGTCTCCTTAAGAATCAAAGATGTAGCAAGATGTCTAAGCGTCCATCTTGACACGGAACACTCTCCTCAAGAATCCAGACACACGTGACAGGAAGATTCGAACTGGGGACTGGGTCGGGGTGTCGTCATCATCGAGGTTGATATCGACGAAGTGAGGGGCATCACGGAGGACGGGGGTAGAGAGAGGGGCAGGGAGGGAGGTGGGAGGGACGGGCAGCTCAGATAGGGGCTCAAGGATGGTCATGTATCTCCCAGTAGGACGCTGAGAGGGAGGGAGAGAAGGACATGTACAGAGTGAAAGAAGATAGAAGTGGAGCAAGAGGAGGAAAGTTCTTAGATGGATTTGCTAAAAATATACTCATGATTTGAGAAGAATGTTATCGTTTTACATATGTGATTATTACTGCTCATTAGTGTTCAAATTATTGGTGAGAGTTATGGTTGTAACAGATAAAGTGTATACATTCATGAATACAAAACACACAATTTCAGGGTTACACAATAACTGATTCCCTAAGACACCCACTTGGCGAGGAGGGGCCCAGATGTCAAAGTTCAAAGGGAACCTGATCACGAGGTCAAGAGCTGTCGGAAAGAAGGAATGAAAGTTATGTAAATCTATATACAAGAAACTGGACCGAACTGTATTAAAACTAACGTCTTCATTAAACCCAAAGTCTTCATTAGTTGACGACACCACCAAAATGAGTAAGTTGTAATAAAAAAAAATAGAATTTTCAAAACGTGTCATTAAATTAGGATTTTCCACCATAATTTTGCAATACTAACTTTTTATGAAGGCAAGCTGTCATTGAAAGTTTGGCACTCCAAATATAATGTCACTTATGTGACAGCCTTACTTATCGTTGTGCTATGTTTTTTCGGACACCTAAGAACATGCTTTGATGTCTCGGTTATCGCATAAACAATTGTAAAACATGCCACAAACTTATAAAAGATAACTTTTATCATTGACACAAGCCATCTTTCAAGAGTTCAAAATGTCTCTGCGAGGCAACACCCCTCCATACAGCCCGAGTTAGCACGGCCGTCAGAAGACATATGACGTCCGAAAACCTGTGATCCGACAACATTATATGTTTGTCGGAAAAAAAATTGGGTTTGAAAACATTGTTTGTCCAGTTTAGATCAGAACAACTGGGTTATAACGGGATTTTAAAAGGGGCTAGTAAAGTATCATCATTGATATGGCCTGAACAGTTTGGGGTGACAAACGAATATCTAAGAATTTAGGTTTTGACCAGCTGCACTGCTGGCATTTGTTGGTTAAACATAGTGCCCTTCAAAGCTATTCACTGAATCCTAAATCTATATCAGAAGGTAATCCCACACTACTTGACATTCACATCTGAAACCATTGTCAGCTTTAGACACTGATTGACTAGTAAATTTCATAGAGTGTAGGTGCTGAATCCAATATAGCCTACCGTTAACTCGTGAATGCGTTGTTTTTCCCTGTTTCGTTTATTAACAGTTTGGAAGCTTGAAAGGCCTCAGTTAACGTGAAAACATATTAGCAATTCACAAATAGTAATCCTTGATGACACCAGCCGGCCACAGTTTCCTACTTCATGTTGAATTAAGTAAATAAGTCATAACAGAAAGCGAAGGGACAGCACTAACTGAAGTAGAAATAACGAACTACCTTGAGTGTACGAAGTCATGGTGATAGTATCTGGAGATGAGCGAACTGTGAGGCAAACGTTGAAGAAAACTGACAGTATGACGGCAATGTGTGATAGCGACAAAATGGCGGTATCAATAGTGAAACTGTCGTCATAGCGACGTCATAAATCTCGCGAGATCGTCATAGCCTCGCGTGACGTTAACGCCATGACTGGTTTTCTTCGTGCTCTTCGCAAGTCAGGATCCCAGTCATGTTTCGATGTCGCGAGGTTAAAAATGGCTGATCATGGCTTGTATATAGAATGTCTTCATGCCAAACAAACAACAAACAAACAGACGATGCAGCATCAGTGTCCATCTGCAAATAGTCACTACTCAAAATACCGATATGATGTTAAAATTTAACTCACTCATTCACTACTCTAAATATTATTATAAACCTGTTTGTACCACACCAATTCGATTTGAAACAGTCACTTGAGTATGTTAGCTAAAACACTCCACCTTCGTATAACATGCTATCTATTAACAGTCAAGAGGAAATGACTTGGTTCAAAAAGTAATAAGCGTCTCCCGAAGTAAATGCAGACACGATATTTCTCAGACAATGTAACTCAAACTCATAAATGTTTCTCAATACGTGGACAAAGACAAACTAACTGGACTTGACTGAAAGTAGGTAAATTACTTAGAACCTAACTCAAATGTTTCGTAATACGGTGATAACACGAGGCAACCTGGCAGTCATTGTACAAACAACATTAGGGGCGGTGAGGTAGCCTAGTGGTTAAAGCGTTGGCTCGTCACGCCGAAGACCTGGGTTCGATTCCCCACATGGGTACAATGTGTGAAGCCCATTTCTTGTGTCATCGCCATGATATTTCTGGAATATTGCGAAATGTGGCGTAAAATCTTACTCACTCACACAAATAACCGACTACGACTTTAGTCAATAATAAGGCATGGGAGTTATGGTCACATCACCACTAAACTCGCTCTGTATAACGGCACTCTGGGTTTTTACATTCTGGAATTATGTTTTTGTACCTTTGCATAAATACATTACTGAAGGTAGTGTATTTTGCCTTATGTCAAACAGTTAAATATATTTTGCTCCCTCGCTTTGTCGTAGTAGGCGACTGACGGAATGGGATGACCAGGCTGACTCGATGCCCATGTTGTCAATCACTGGATTTCTCGTTCTATTCAAATATTTGCAGACCGCCGTTATAAAGCTGGAACACCGGGAGAGCGGCGTTAACTGTAATCTGTTTGACTAATTTAACAGATTTTACTGGCGCTTCAGAGGCCTGACACAAGAAATTGTGAGTGCGAGTTGGGTTTTACGCCACTTTTAGCAATATTCCAGCAATATCACGACGGAGGACACCAGAAATGGGCGTCACACAGTGTACCCATGTGGGGAATCGAACCCGGGTCTTCGGCGTGATGGGCAAATGATTTAACCACTAGGCTACCCCCACCGCCACTGAGAAATGTCAAGAACGAATTATACAGGGGCGCTTATCTCAACTGTTCCATTCTGGCGATGATATTTGACCCGGGTCCAGATGACACGCTGTGATATACTGACGTCATGTTGAAAGCAGTGATAAACAAAACTCACTCACTCACTCAAACCACTTAGAATCACCCCAAGACAAACTAATTTCCTACAAAGCGAATGGAGGTTAGCTCCCTTTGTGAATGAACGTCAGTTTATCGTTTTCAAATGTTGACAAGAATACACCTAGATATGGATAAACCTTTGTCGCCGACAGCCTTTTATTTCTCTATCTTTCCATCAGAAGGCTGCTTCTCCACTGTCTGATATAGGGAGTTGTACGTGCTACCCGTATTTGGCTCACCACCAAAAGCACGGGCTTCTACACTGTGACGTATGACAATTTGAATTCACATTCAATTGTCATCCGTCAGCCATCACACATGCATGGCTGACACAATATCTTACTAATGTTGTATAATTCACAGGTAAGCACCCTCTCTATATCCTTTCTCTATTTCATAATGCTACATATCTAATTATTATCAGTTAAGTGCCTTAAATTAGTAAACATATTGTTACCGATCGCGCATAAAGTAAACATATCTATCGCGTATCACTTACTAGTTTAAGCACTAGCACGTAAGACAGTTTGTGAAAGTATAATTATAATATATTTTATAAACCTTTTATTATCAACACCAACTGTCTATATTTTTAGCAATAATATGATGCATCACCTGTATGTGACGTCATCATGTAAACAATCAACATTATTCAATTGTTTTCATAATTATAACGTATGCCACTGTGCTATTTGATTATCAATTGAATAATTAATATGCCTGATTGATTCACATTCAATTGTAATCCGTCAGCCATCACATATGCATGGCTGACACAACATGTGTCAGTACCATACCCGCAAGTGTCAATAACAGCATCAGTGTATCACTCTCACACTAACGTACACACTCAAGCCGATCGAAAGCAGCTTAGATCACTCACTCATGCAAATAAAGATGAAACCAAAGAATTTTCAACTGAACTACATATAAATACACACCAGTTCATGTTTCACAGTAAGATTTTATTACAATATTTCTCTGTTACATGTTTATAACAGCACGATACACATCAGCTGGAGAGGTTCTTTTTGACGATGATGGCTGATCGATGATTTGTAGCGAGAGGGGAGTCAGTTTATCTTCTACCTGTGGACAGAAGGAAATCATTATTAGAAATCTCTAAGAAAAACAGACCTCAATATTCTACTGACTATATCAACATCCCGTGTTTAAAGAATCATTGTGGCTCCAGATGACAGGGATGATCTCTCTAAACAAACTGTAGAAGTATAAAGGATCTACGTCATTATTAATGATATCAGTTAAACATACTTTAGACGCAGGACAAAAGAATTACCTGTCATGGGTAAAACTATTGACGCATTAATGAGCTGGTGCATGAATGAGAAATAGAGATTTTGTATATAATGCGTGGAAGGTTTGATTAAACTGGTCTCGAGAACAGCTCACTCAGTAAAATGAAATGGCGTGGAAAGAACAACAGGGAACCCCATGACAAACCCCACTCGGAAACTGTAGGACAGACATGAGCTGACGTCATTTGTCGTTGTTGATGCAGTCTCTGGTTCAAACAGAAAGCTGGAACACTGCTGCACAACATTAACATAAATTCAGTGTGGTTACACAACACTCACTCACTCACTCGTCCTCAACTAAATAAACCATCCATGATGGTGTATGGTATTTCTGCAAGATGGCTGACAATAAACAGAAGTTGTGTGCTATGTAACAAAAGAAAACACAAACGGCTAGGAAATTAAGATACTTTTAATCAGTACAGATTAAAGTAAAACTGAGGTTGAATCTTGTCCGAAAAAAAGCCAAAATGTTCCAGTAAAAACTAAAGTATAACACAGTATGACATACAGTCTACATTTAAAAAAAAGCCAAACCCACAAAATGTCCGAAAGGTCCGAAAAGTATAAATAGTGTTCAAAAGGTCCAAAAATGCAAAACGTCACCAAATATTTCAATGTGAATAATTATTATATGACACAATGTCCAAAAGGTGAAAGATGTCACTGCAAGCATCCATCTTGACACAGAACAGTCTCCTCAAGAATCCAACAGGTATCAAGATGTCACTGTAAGCGTTCATCTTGACACGGAACAATCTCCCAAGAATCCAAGAGGTATGAAGATGTCACTATAAGCGTCCATCTTGACAGGAATTTTTCCCTAAGAATCCAAGAAGTAGCAAGATGTCACTCTAAGCGTCCAATCTTGACACGGAACAGTCTCCTCAAGAATCAAAGAGAGTGCAAGATGTCACTATGAGCGTCCATCTTGGCAAGAACAATTTCCTTTAGAATCTAATTGGTAGCAAGATGTCACTCTAAGCATCCATCTTGACACGGAACACTCTCCTCAAGAATCCAGTAACACGTGACAGGAAGACTCGAACTGGGGACTGGGTCGGGGTGTCGTCATCATCGAGGTTGATATCGACGAAGTGAGGGGCATCACGGAGGACAGGGGTAGAGAGAGGGGCAGGGAGGGAGGTGGGAGGGACGGGCAGCTCAGACAGGGGCTCAAGGATGGTCATGTATCTCCCAGTAGGACGCTGAGAGGGAGGGAGAGAAGGACATGAAGAGAGTGACAGAAGATAGAAGTGGAACAAGAGGAGGAAAGTTGTTAGATGGATTTGCTAAAAATATACTCATGATTTGAGAAGAATGTTAGCGTTTTACATATCTGGTTATTACTGCTCATTAGTGTTCAAATTATTGGTGAGAGTTATGGTTGTAACAGATAAAGTGGATACATTCATGAATACAAGACACACAATTTCAGGTTTACAAAATAACTGATTCCCTAAGACACCCACTTGGCGAGGAGGGGCCCAGATGTCAAAGTTCAAAGGGAACCTGATCACGAGGTCAAGAGCTGTCGGAAAGAAGGAATGAAAGTTTTGTAAATCTATATACAAGAAACTGGACCCAACTGTATTAAAACTAACGTCTTCATTAAACCCAAAGTCTTCATTAGTTGACGACACCACCAAAATGAGTTAAGTTGTAATAAAAAAATAGAATTTTCAAAACGTGTCATTAAATTAGGATTTTCCACCATAATTTAGCAATACTAACTTTTTATGAAGGCAAGCGGTCATTGAAAGTTTGCCACTCCAAATGTAATGTCACTTATGTGACAGTTTATATGGAACGTTATTGTACACAAGTAACCTGTTAAAATGTTTGAATTAAAATATTGAAACTTATGATGTTGTCAGTTAGGTAGAACCTATGCAATCACATCATATATAGTTAGTGAATCTGCCCCTGATCGTATGTAAGAAACTTTTCGGGAGTAGGTTAGAACTAGCCACTTCAAACGATATTTCAATAAAATAATATTTTGGAATAGTATAATGGAACCATTGCAATCACCACCAACTGCGTGCTTTTTCTGAAAACAATTTATCTCTTCAACTGTGAAAACAATTAGAATTCGTATGGTAGTGGGTTAGTTAATGTTGGTTA